CCGCCCCCGCCCACAGCCGTTCCCCGCGGGCCGCCACAGCCGCCGGCCGGGAGAGGCGCGCGCCATGGCTTCTGGAGCTGAGTGAGTGTGTGCGCGCGCCGCCCGCTCTCTGCGGGGGCGCGCACCGCGGGCCCTCCGCGCTGGGTAGGCCCGGCTGGGCAGGCCGTGGGCGCGCCTCAGAGGTGGAAACCAGAAAGGACGGAAGGAGAGGAGGGGAAGGGGACTAGTGAGGGCCGCGGGCCCGGCCCGGCCCGGCGCGGCCCGGCCCTCCTCGCCTGCGCACCCGCGCGCCCCCTAGGCGGGGCTTGCGTTGGGCCTGGGTCGGAGCCTGGGCCAGATCGTGCTGTGTCATGCAGGCCCCGGCCGGCCGGCTCGGCTCCCTCTGAACGGCCGGCGGGGCCCAGCGAGGTCTTCCGGCCCACACGGCGGCGCGGGGCCCCAGAGCCGCGGGGCGTCCACCTGCCTTCCGACCTGCCACCGGCGGAAGGCCTTTGGTCCCCGGAGAGAGCAGGCCCCGCGAGCCCGAGGCCCCGACTGGGGCCGGTGGGCGTGGACTTTGAGCCACGCGAAGGCCTCTGGAGCCCCGCGGTGGGGGCGGAGGACGGCCCGGCAAGCTCCGGGAAGTTCACTGTGGCTTTTTCAGTTTCGGGTCCGCCTGGCCCGGGGTGGCACCCTCCGTGACCTAGGTAGTGAGGGGCTGTTAGGGAGAGGGCGGGCCCTGCCTTTTGCGTCTGGCCTTCTTCCTACTCGAGGCCTGTTGTTGCTCATGCCAGAAAGTTTTAGCCGAGTTTCCGTGATGTTATGACTTCAGGGTGGAGAGGAAGAAATTTTTCTCTAGTATTTCAGGTTCTGGTTAAAGTTCGAATCTCCGTTCGTTATTTGGTGGGCCTTCCTAGATTTTTAGTTTTCGTGGTGTGCAGGTTAGAGTTGTTCTGACTCTTTAGAAGCACACTCATGCACCCACTCCTTCCCTCTAGCAGCTGTATTGAGAATTTCCCTATGCTCCAGGGTTTTCTAGCCCCACCTCCCTCCCTCAAGAAAGCATCAGGTAAAACCTGGCCACCTCAGCCCATTCAGTTTAGAATTTGAGCTTTTCAATGCTGAAAAAACACGGACAGCTTATGGAAACTCGTGCAAAATCACCTTCCTGCCTCGAAGAGATTAGTTTTTAAGGTGTGTTCCTTTTTCTCAAGTTTCTGAATTGGAATAAAGTATTACTCAGTCGCTTATTTAAAGGGTGATTTATTAGTACTTAAAATATTCTCTTAGGTTAATATCCAGGCAACGTTTTATTTTTTAAAAAATAAAAATGTGAAATTATTGTAACCTACCATCATGCAGTTTTTAACCTCTAGGTCATCTTGATGACTCTTACCTGAACCCCCTCCAAGTCCCCTGTGGCCTCCTGGGGTTCTGGAAAGGGCCTGACTCATGCAGAAGACAATGAAGGATGTCACCAAAGAGTGTCCAGAACTGCTGTTGGCCTATGGTCAGACTGAATTCACTCTTTTAGAGATGATCACCTCTGATATCAGTAGAAAGATGGGGAATTATTAGAGGCTTTACCTTAAGGAAAGGGCATACCACTCATCTCCAGAGCCAGGACCAGGAATGGTAGGCACATTGTTTTCCTAGACTGCATCTTTGAGATTAAAATACAAATTATGGTGACTAGAGGCATCTGGCATTTTATTTTTCTCCAGTCCCAGCCCAGTGGATCAAGCAGGAAGATGAGTAGCCCCTGCAAGGATATTTTGACAAGTCAGGAGTGGGAGACTACATGGGTTTGTTTACAGTTGCCCTCAGCTGTCATATTGACACTTCCAGGATGTAAGCAATGGAAGAGGCTGTCATACTCTACATCATTGTGCCCAGAGTGGAACACTTTTGGGATAGGGGAAGCAAGTCTGAGTTGAGGAAACCTGTTTGTAACTAGTTAAAGATGCAGGCTATATAAATGTAATAGTCAGTAGAAGGCTTACCATTTTGTTAGATAAATGGAGTTCTTTCTTTCCTTTTTTTTCCTTTTGCCTCCTGAGTCAGGGCCTCACTCTCTTGCCCAGGCTAGAGTGCAGTGACACAATCATGGCTCACTGCAGCCTCGACCTCCTGAGCTCAGTTGATTATTATGCCTCAGCCTCCTGAGCAGCTAGGACTACAGTTGTGCACCACCACTCCCAGCTATTTTTTAATTTTTTTGTAGAGATGAGGTCTTGCTATGTTGCCTAGGCTGATTTTGACTCCTGGATTCCAGCAATTCTCCCACCTTGGTCTCCCAAAGTACTGGGTTTACAGGCGTGGGCTTCTGCACCTGGCCTGGGGTTTGTATTTCTGTTGGGTATTCCAGAGCACAAGCATCTTTTTTTTCTTGCAAATTGTGAGGCTGTTTCCAACCGGCATTCTATTTTGTCTTGTTTTTTTAAAGTTTACTGTTTTTGCTTCCTCTGCTATCTGGCCTCCGTATTTTGGTTAATGCTTATGTTTTCTTGAGCCTTATTAGGAGGAGGTAGCTCTTTAAATGGAGAGCTAGCTCACTAAAGCTGGTAAGTAAAGGCTGGAGATGATCTAAGAAAGTGGTGTTACTTGTCAGGTGAATGACCCTAGCTTCTAGGAAATGGTAGAGACTGAAGTTTAGACTCAGACAACCATGATTTGGGTGAGAGGGATTTGAATTTGCCCCATGCCTCAGCATTTCTTGGTTTTAACTTTTTGAACCAACTCCATGAAATTGTGTGCCTTTGCAGAAATTACTGTGAAACTTCTTTTGAGCCTGAGCCTCTTTCTGAAGGTTCCAAATCTGTTGTTTTTTTAAATGTGATAGTCTTTGTGCTTGGTATTCCTCTGGTACTATGGGATGCTCTGGCATTTGATAACTTAGCCTGTAAGGAAGTGGGGGTGTTTATGATTCTGCTTCATTGTCCTCAGGCTTACTTGGTGGGACAGACCTCCCTGAACCCTAAGGGAAGTTGTCTGGATCACTTCATTCCCCCGGAAGGTTAGCAAAGAAAGAAAAGAAAGCGCTTGTGCTTTACTCTGCCATGCTAACCATGGTGCCATTAATATCATGTGTCAGGCATTGTGTTAAACATTTTACATTCATTATCTTTCTTAAGACAATAAGCCTCTGAGAGAAGTATCACTTCATTCCTTGTTCTACAGAGGAGGGCTTTACAAAGTCCAGTGATTAGCTAACTTTCCCAAGATTACAATTAAGTAGTGGTAGGGTTGGAATTCAGACCCAGTGGGTCTACTCCTAACCACTACTCTATACAGTCTAAGGCTACTTTCATTTCGCTAACTGCTATTCAGCCTCTGCCTTTTTTTTTTCTTTTTTTGAGTTGTGGTCTCATTCTGTTGCCCAGGCTGAAGTGCAGTGGCATAATCACTGTAGCCTTGAACTCTTGGGCTCAAGTGATTCTCTTGCCACAGCCCCCTGAATAGTCGGGACTACTGGCATGTGCCGCAATACCCAGCTAATTTTTTAAGTTTTTGTAGTGACAGGGTCTTGCTATGTTG